GTTTTCGGTCTAGGGGGGCAGCCTGTCAGACAAGGGCCTCCCCTGGGCACCCAAGGCTCTCAAGGCCGGGGCCATGAGGGGCATGCTGCTTGGGCTGCAAGCCCAAGGGAAGCCCCTTGCCCAGGATTCCTGCCTGTGCTTGGCTGGGGGAATGTTCCAGAAGTTTGGCTGCAGGCACTGGAGGGGCAGCTGGCTGCCAGGCGGATCTCTGGGTGAAATGGGTGAATGGTTTGGTGAGTGTGACCCTCACTGACAGCACAGGAGGGCTCAGAGGGGAGAGGAAGGGGGCTGCCACCACAGAGACCCACACACCCAGGCCCAGCGTAGGCAGCCCCCTTGCCGCCGCCAGGCTGTTAGACTTGCCCGTGGGCTGCACCCTAACCCACGTCGGGAGGACTGTCTGGTCTTTTTGGACTATTCATGGAGCACCCCCCATGTGTCCTGCATCCCAACATGCTGGGAGCTGGAGGGAAATGAGACCCCGTCTCCTCCCCACCCACCCCCGGCCGAGTTTTGAGCCTGTCTTTTGGGGGAAGACAGGCATGCAAACAACTGGGGGAGTACTGTGGGGGCCACCTGGAGCACGCCGCTAGGGACAAGGGACAGGCCTCTGGAAAGAAGGACCACAGAGTCCTGGGGACATTCCAGGCAGCGGTCACTGCATCTGCCAAGGTGGGGTGTGCTCTGCTCGCTGGTCCCAATCGCTGTCACCCCGGGGGGTGTGGTTGAGTATCAAGCACACGGGGGGGGGGGGCCGCTCTCAACAAGAGCATACTTGGCTGGACAGGTCCTCTGGACTGTCCCTCTGGGGTTGGTAGGTGCTGTTGGTCGTTCTGGCTTACAGAGACCTCTGCAGCACGGAGGGAAACACCGCAAGGCCCTGTGTGTGCCGTCCTCGCGGTCGTTCTTGCCACGGGACAGTCTAGCTTGTGGAGGGCCTTCCTCGTGTTTGCTGCCCCTGCACTTGGCCTGGCGTGACGTCCTTCTCCAGGGGCCGGTCGCTCCCGACAGCAAGTCTGTTTTTCCGTCTCGGCAGTCCTGGTGCTTTGTCAGCATCACAGTTCAAATACATCAATTCTTTTTATTTTCGAGATTAAGTTGTTTATTGATTACACATGATAATGGATACATACTGTCCACTCCGTCTATAATTCCATCTGATACCATTTTTCAATTTAGATAAATTGGATAGGAGGGACCAACAACCATTTTTTTTATCACCAAATAAGCTCTGTTCGCTTGCGGGGATGACCATTGGTAACGGAGAACTCCAGGTGACCCAGCAGGAAGGGTCAGTCCAACGACAACCATGGTTTCCATGAACAATGGCTCCTCTGCCGTCTAGCAGTCTCAGGTTATAGCTACGTGTATTTCAAACCTGGCATCACCCTGAAGGAATTCTGCACGTCACACTGTTGGGGCAATTTATCCAGATGGCTTAAGAGTAGACTAAGTGCACCCAGCACATTTAAGAAGACATTCATTCAGTGTCATGATCAGACGATTCCATTTAGCAACCAGCAGCATGGGTGCAAAAAAGGGAAAACTACATGGAAGCCCTTGGCTGGAATGCTTTATACTCTGCAGAACAGAAACAAAATAACCTGTTAAGCAATGAGTCACAAACACAGTGCTCAAGTGCGTTGCCCACACAAGAGTACTGTCTAAACCATGGGTTCTTTGTAGCAGCTAGGCCCTGCCCCTGCCTGCTGTGCTCGGCTGAGCTCAAAATTCTCTTGTCACCTGTAGCTTCCCTGTCACTCCCCGGCTCTTCTCTCCTGCTCAGCTTTGTTTCCTGGGAGTCATTAAAGTCTCCTGCCGCTGCCAGTCACTGCTACTGCTACAATCTCCTTGGTTTCATGGTTTGACAAAGTATTGACCGCCATCACCATTAAGGGCCAGAGCTTCTGCCTCCCTTCATCGGTCCAACATTGGAAGATTGCTGGTTGTAACTGCCCAAATCACTGTAGCTTCCCCCACCTCCGAAGCTGCTTCCATCATTGCTAACTCCATTAGAACCCTCCCCCTGCCGCCGTAGCCACCACGTCCGCTGAAGTTTCCGCCCCGACCACAGTGGTCATTCCCCCCAAAGCCACCACCTCGCCCACCACTGAAGTGTCCCGAACCCCTCCGACCGCTGGCTGGGGGAGGCCCTGGCCATCTCTTGGTTGCGGCCATTGACAGGGCGGTGTTTCTGAAGGGCAGTCTTCTCTGCGGGGTCACGCTCATCCAAGGTCACAGAAGCAAAGCCCCTCTTCTGGCCCGGCCGCCATCAGCCATGATTTCAGTGACTTGTTTTCCCATCTTGCTCAGCATAATCTCGCAGGTGGTGCTCTCCGGTCGTCTGCGACGCCGCAGACAGATCTTTTTCACAGTGACATGGGCGCCTGGTCTTTGACAGTCTTCTCTGGAGACATCCCTCTGGTTCCACAGCTCTCCCTGCACCTCGTGTGGCCTTGCATTCGTGGCTGCATCCACGCCCTCCGCAGTAGAGTAGGTGACAAACCTAAGGCCTCCGGAGCGCTGGGTGTTCGGATCTCTCATCACCACGCAGTCCACGAGCGTCCCCATTGCTCAAAACAGCTCCGCCGACTCCCATCTGTGGTTTCAGAGCTCAGCCCTCCGATAAAGAGCTCCCACAGGGGTCCGGGCTCTTTAGGAGGCTCTGACGTGGGCATGACGGCTGTGTGTGTGTGTGTGTGTGTGTGTATGTGTGTGTAAGGTGGGGATAACCCTGACAAAGATTCCTCTGTGGTGTCCACAGGCAGAACCCGATTCTTTTCGGTCTTCCTTATTCAGGGTCTAACTTTACATGCACAGAAGGAGAATGGAAATGTCAGGCCCAGGGTCAGGCCCAGCTTAAGCCTCATAGTGACTTCCTGGCTTTTCGACCCTTTAAAGAGGCTTGCACAGCAGATTTACCCAGGGCAATGTGTCCTTTGATCTGTTGACTGCTGCTTCCACAAGCAGTGGTTGTGGATCCAAGTAAGAGCTAAGCAAGAAATCCTTGACAACGTCAATCTTTGTCTCCGTTTATTGTGATTTAACCCTTGGTGAGGATTTTTGTCCTTGGCGCTGCTGGTGGTTTTGAACTGCCAACCAAGTGGACTGCAGCCCACTGTGTGACCACTATGCCACCAGGGCCCGCCTGTCTAAAAAGAGCTGCTTGAATCACTACACATGCCGATGAGTTTATCTCGAGCGAGATCCAGGTGCTTGGATGCTTGACTGGGTGTGCTGGGTGCTTGACCCGCAGGAGTGCTGCGAGAACCCTGTCGCCAGGCTGGGTGCTCGGCTTGCTTCGAAGGTGAGCTCCCTCACTGCAGGGTTTGGAGCCGGGGGTCCACATTCTCCGCTGTCTCTGGCCAACAGGGAGTCCGTGGGGAGGGAAGGTGGAGACAGGGCGGGCGGAGGGAACAGTTTCTGGAGGCTTTTTGCAGCACAGCCTGCAAGCCGTGGCGACTCATGGGAGGTGGGAGCCGGGTGAGGCTGCCCAGGACTGGCGCAGGCAAGGTTTGAGAGACAGTCTGTCAGAGAGGGGCTGCTGAGAGGGAAGCCGGAAGGCCAGTGCTAGGTGGGGAAGGCCAGTCCTGTGGACCACGAATGTCATCGGGCCCTGGTGGCAAAGCCTCTAAAGGTCTCCCTTGCAGGCAATGGCTCCTGTGGCACAAGCCCTTCCCTCTCTCCTCACCTCATCATGCTATATGCTCCAGAGGTGTGGAGAGCAAAGGCCAGAGCTTCAGGACCCCTGGTCAGGGACAGTTGATCCAGCGGGATGGGGCACCCCTCACCTGGCTTCCTTCTCTCCCCGACCTCCTCCCCTGAATGGGGGGGCGGTTGGCATGGAGGAGGTCTCCAGGAGACACGATGTCTCAAACTTTAGTTGAAACCGTTCCATTGAACCTGTTGCCCATTCATTTGCCCACCCAGTCATCTGGCATCTTCTAAACCTCAGCCCAGCCCTGTGCTGAGAGACCCCATGCCCAGGGAGGAGCCCAGTGCCTGCACCACTCCAGGCTCTCAGTCTGCAGTGAGAGACCCCCATGTGGGAGCAGGCCAAAACGGCTGCGCACGGGAAGAGGAGCCCCCACGGAGGGCGGGGCTCCGTGGATTTGGGGAAATCCCATCATCCTGGAAGGAGACCAGCTCCACTGTAGGTGAAGTGCTCGGCTGCTCATTAAAAGCTCAGTGGTTGGAACTCACCGGCCACTTCGAAAGAGCAAGTTGTGGCCGCCTGCCTCCATGTTCAAGGCGGTGGAGACCCCGGAGGCAGTTTGACTCTATCCCGTGGCGTCCCTGTGAGCAGCACTCTGTCACTCTGGGACTCCCGCCTGAAAGCTCCCCCTCCACTGGTGAGATCCGCTCCCAGCCCCTTTCCCCTGGTTTCTCTCCCCTCCTGCCTTCTTGGAAGGGCAGCTGAGGCCAGAGGAAGAAGGACGCCTAGCAGGTGCCCCTGCGGTAGGGAAGGGGGCTGGCTCCCTCCCCCAGCCTTGCCCCTGGTGTAGACTGGGCCCCCTGGCCAAACTCTACCTGGCTACAGCAGATCGGATCGGAGAGCCCTTGGGGTGTGGCTGACTGAGACTGCTCTGGAAAGTGGGGTGACCACACCTATTCCCAGGGTGGTCGGGAGGCTTGAGGCTAACTGGGGGGCAGCCTTTCTCACGCTTCATAGATCCTACACCCCACCGCCCACCACCACATGAACTCTCGGGCCTTTGCAGGCCGAAGGGCGGACTCTCAGGGGCTGGGGGCAGGGACCACCCTGTCCATCTAGGCGGAGGCCTCCTGAGCTATCACTTTGATTAGGGACCTCCTGCAGGGCTGGCAGTTTCC